ATTAGGGAGTGGAGGAAGGTGTGACTCCTGGGTTCAACAACAAACCAGGTCTAAACACAGTACGTGCATGCACACACATTTACTGCTTACTCTGCAACCATCTCGCCCCAGGCCAAACCTGGGTCAAAATCAGGCCTGCATCACACACAGACACACACGTTTGTGACATTGTCAAAAGTTGCACAGAATTGACAGATTTCACTGTGTTGTTACAGATTAGGCTTACATATTCGCACACTGATTATCCACAACAAGAAAAGTTGTCCTTAAATTGCAGTTGCACTTTTTCTTTTAAGTATATTTTTAACAAATGTAAATGTGGTGTAAAAGGTACACCTGTATGCTGATGATACAGTTGTTTATATTTTTTGTGGTCATGAAGTAGAGATAAACTCTCACATAAAAATAAATAAGAAACATAAAAAACAAATGCCTTTTGCTCCCTGTAAAAAAATAAATAAACAAGAATTTTCTTACCTGTGTCTAATACATATTACAAATAGGTTTATGTAAATATGTTCATTCACCTTTGGCTATGACACATGAATTGACTTGAAGAGTCTACAGACAAACCAAGGTGCACCATTCCACATACCACACATAGGAGGTGCCAAAGCCACATAATGTGGTTAAATGTTTCCTGCTAAATAGATAAAAGCCATACAGAGATAAAGATCAATGATAGGATCTAAAGACGTCATGTTTCCCTAAAATTGTCTTGTTGACTTCGCCTTAGGGTTGTTCAAAAAAGAGACAAAGACATTAGACTGTGAACCCGCTCTCCAGGCTGTAGTCAACGTTCACTTCTTTTATTTTAAGATCTGCTTTTGCGAAGCTCACTGTCAACAATTTGTCACTACGACTGTAGCCTCGGCATTGGTATCAAGTAGCTATTTATATGCAGGCTGTTTAAGCCCCAGTATATGAGTAAAAATTACTATAGCAAGAAAAGCGCATAGAAACAGAACAGATAACATCTCGTCACTGTCTGACTGAACCCTGGCTGGGAAGGAAGCAATAATGTGTTGCACGAGTTGCTGCAGGCTAATAGCATGACTGTGGATCATTTAAAGATAGATTGAATGAGGAAAAACACAACAAGAATGTTTTAAGTGCTGCTGGATTTTCTGAGCCTCATGTCAAGTCTCAGCACAGCCGGCTTCTGAATAATGTACTCTGCTATTAAAGTCATATTTGATCAGTTTTTCCCAAGAAGTTTTCTGCCAGCACTGGCTTGAGCTGGTACATGTCACTCACACGGTGTTATTGTGCAATACATTTGAGTAAAGATGTTTACAGGACTGCAATGACATACGGCAAACAAAGTGGGGCGCTGTGATGATTTGTATTAGAGCAGAATGAGTGGTGACTCAAGGATATGAAAGTGTGTGAAGGTAAAAAAGAAGAGATAAAATAAAGAAATTGAAATAAAGTACATTAACAGCCCAATTACAAGAATAAAATTTTACCTGTGTTCTTAAAATAATCAAAGCTCAATTTGCAGATTTAAAATTAAAATATTTAAAAATATTTTAGAATAACCTCCAATGGCATCCCTGCATTTATTGTGCTAGGATGAGAACACCGTGGTCGACAAACGAAGCACAGTTACTTTACTGTAGTAATGTGAGTACTCACACGTGGTAGAATTTACTCCCTTTCCCTGTCCCTTTCATTAACACGACACTGCTAACGAGAACTCTCTGGGGTTAGTCTACACTCTGACTGTAGCTTTCTAACACTAACACATCTGTTTAACACACCCGTAAGATGACATGTATACATTAGACAGACACAGATCCAATTAAGGCACGGCAATCACAGGACTAACGAGAGGGTAGCGTTGACAGAGTTCTGCAAGTGAGAAATAGTGAGAAAAACGAAGGAATGGAGAGCATCGGAGAAGTGGAGGGGGGTGAAAGAGGTAAAAATGACTGTAGAAGTGGAGGGAGAAAGAAGAGGTGAGAAAAAGACGACAACCGTGGAACAAAGAAAAAAGAAGTAAAAAGGTGTTGAAGTTGTTGATCTGTGCATTTGTATGTTTATTCATCTTTTTTTTTCCCCGTCATTTTGAGAATAATGACTATATTTATACTCTTAGTAAATGTACATACAGTATGTAGTGATTTTTGTATTTTGTGTTTTCACTACAGGTATTGCTGTCCAACTGTTATCAGTGGCTGAAGTCTGGAATTGAACCCACAACACTAGACTGCAGTGAGGAAAGGAAGTCCAACCAGAACTAGTTAAAAACAATCAATCAAAATGTACCTGTAAATAATCAAATCAAGCTGAAATAATTAATTCAACTTTATCTTTGATTCAAGAAAAACTCCTAAGGTAACTCTTCTCTGGTCTCCACCACATGGTTCAGTGTGATTAATGAAATACTGAACAAATGTTTAAAATACCCAAATCAAATCAAATGAAAACCACAGCACCTGATCCACAGCCTGGTTCAAATCTGCGTTGAGGAACTGAGGACGCTCCACTTTTTCTGAGCTCACATTTTAATGCATCTGGGGTCGTGACCTGGGGCCACAGACTGGAGAGGAGAGAGCAGGAGGAGACACTTAAACCCACCACAGAGGATCTAAAGTTCATCCTCCTGGTCCACCTCGGGCCTGGAGCGGAGAGAGCTTCAAGGCTAACAACAGCAGGGGAGGAGCCGTATCGACCCGGCCTGCCATCGGCCCCCTGATGAGGGCGCACTGCCTCCCTCTCTCTCTCTGTCTGTCTGTCCATCACGTCCTTCCTCTCTCTGTATTTCCTCCTGGTTCCATCCATCACTCCCTCTCTCTGATGGTCTGTGGTCCCAGGCCCCAGGAACAGCAGGTGGCCTTCTGCTGTCCACCAGCCCAGGTCACTTTAATAGCATTTGCCACTGCTGGGAATTGGAGTGGTGTATGTGCAAGATGTTCAACTGAACTACCAGGCAAATCCATCAAGCCGTACTTTAGTGGGTTTTTTAAAGTTGGGTTGTAGCTCACAGTATGACCTTTGAACTCTGGGCAAATTTCCCTTAAAATGTATTATAATTTATTGGCCTTGATTTTTGAAATTGTATTTGCAGATTAAGGCTGCTTAAAATCTATTCTGTTTTATTCTTTTCTATTATTATTCAATTTATTAAGACTGTATACATCACTACCAGACAAAACTAAGTAATTAATTTTCACAAATTTAATTGGATTTTGTTTGTTTTGTTTAACAGGTTTTTCCTTTAATACTTTAGTGTTTATCACCTGTTTTCACCTTTTCAGATTTTAGAAAAGTATAAACTGTGAAAAGGTGGTCTGTGTCCATCTGTAACTATTCAACAAAATGCAGTGGGTTTTCTTTAATTGTACTACAATTACTCAGAGCAATTAAAAAATATTACAGGACTTCATTTCACACTGTATCAATAAGTTAGAAAATAAACAAAAGCTCTGATGAAAATGGGTTTAATTGGATGTGATTTTGTTAATTCTTGTGTTTGAAATTACTGAGTTGTTGTGGTAACAGAACATACTTTTTGTATGTGTAAAAATATTAAATCCCTGATGTCTCTCTGAGGTCAACCCTCTAACCAGACTAATTATGACAGTAGACACACACACACACACACGTTTGTTTTCATAAAATGTATTAATGCAAATTAATTGGCACACACATTTAAATGCTAAATTAGTAACATGGGGCTGGGCAATAATAGCAGCGTGGAAAAACAATCCAAAATAGCAGAGAAGGAAAAAAAAAAGTAAATTAGTTCTTCCCTAATAACTCATTTGTTATTCGGTTATATCTTCCCTCTGCCCAATTATACCATAAAAAGGAGAAAGAAAAAAAAACAAAAAAACAAATGTATAAATCTCACACTGCTGTGAACTCAGTGGAGTTTTTTTTACAGCAGAAGAACATGAGAAAATATCAGAGCTGCTTCTTATTAGAGGACACCTTCAGCTCACGGACAACGACTTAAGGAAGTATCAGATGAATCTTAAATCATCTTAAAACACGCAGTTCTACGCAACAAGAATTTACATGATATATAGATGAAGACAGAGGTATGGTGAGTGCATTAATAAATGGACAGAGCTACAGCAATTAGTTGCCATTGTAACTGATGTCTGTTAAAATTTACTAAAACATATATTAATATATATGTATATATATATATTTAGTGTATATATATATACATATATTTATACATATATGTATATGTGTATAAATATATACATATATGTATATTTGTATAAATATATACATATATGTACATATATGTATTATATATTTATATATATATGTAGATATATATAAATATATATACATACACAGGACTCATCACAGTGTCAGCATACCATGTGCACCTTTCCACTCAGCTGTTTCCCTGCTGTTTGTCTGCAGATGTTCTCTGTCTGTGTCCATTTCACTGAAAGCTGCTATTTTGCCGCACATTCCACGTCATCAAAGAGACACGGTGTGTCATGTTGCTGTGTCTGTGTATGTGTGTGAGTGAGTGTGTGTGAGCAGACATACAGGACACACTCTGACAGTCAACAGTGAGTGCCACCGTTCTTTGCAGGTGATCATCTGCTGCCACCAGGATGTGACCACATCCTCTACAGTCATGTGATTTTACAAAAGTTTGTTTTTTTAAGCAAAAACTCACATATTTACTATGATAAACTATCAACTAAAAATTGCAGTTTTAGATATTCACTTTTCTGGTGTGTATTTGTGCACTGAATCCCCAAGGAGTATATAGACAAATTGTACCTTAAAATAAATGTATTTTTGTTGGTTGAAGTATTAGTCTGGAAATTCATTGATTTTTTTTTTCCCTGCATTCTTCAACATGCAGTTCCTGTCTGGTTTCTCCAGTAATTAATTGAAAAACAATTCAAGTTAAATTTAATACATTTGCTACTAAGAAAAATTTAATGTATTAATGTTTTTTTTTTCACGTGACGATGTTGCCTTTCTGTGAGGTGGACACTTAGTCCTGTGTGTCTTACTTGTGTCTCAGACATGACGTAGAGGTAGTGGTGGTCAGAAGAGAAGGCCATGTCTCTGAGGATGGGGCCGTTGTCCACAGCTTGTACCGTCTCATACTGCAGCGCACGAGGCGAGCCGTCCACCCGGATCTGGAAAACACAAAGTAAAAGAAGAAAATGAAAATTACTATAATTCAAATCACTCTTCCTATAAACTAAAGAAAAATAATTAAGGGTATCGAGACAACAAAACATTATTATTCTGAGAAAAATGCCCATTCACCACATACTACTTCAACATTTCTGCAAAAGTCAGGACTTTGAGAGTTAGTTGTGCGACAGAGAAGCTCATCTTTCTTTATCACTGCTCCTGCCTTTCAAACCTGATTATGGTAATTAGGCATCTGGCCTCGAGGTGCGGTCTCTGCGTCCTATTTACGCCACAGGAAGTGTGTAAACCTGCCCCTGCACACACTCGGTGGTGTGATAGAAATACATGGCTTTGTGTCTAAACATCTGTTTGCACCGTCACACAAGCTGTAATTTCCCAGTCACTCTCAGACCAGACCCTGGAACCATTCAGCACCCAATAAATTACACAATTACATACTTCCTACTGCATTCGTGTAGAGACCGTATCATGTTTGGGTCTGAGGACTGGTGTGAGGTGGATCAACATTTAGGGCTTTGATGACACGTGGTTGTATTATTGTGCTTTTTAGCACAGGTTCAGGCACAACCGGGAGATAATTGGATGGGAAGCAGATGGTAAAGCAGACAGGTGAGTTACTTTATGATTAATTATCCTACAGCGATGACAATATACGCTCAGCATATCGTTAAAGAGCCTTTCCGCTGGCCAACCGAAAAGTACACAGCCTCCAAGGTCACAGGTCTCTATTGTTCTGCATAGCTACAGTGAAGCAGCCTTAATGATGACCCAAATGAACCAAGACCATGGGAATTTGCATGTTAATTGAATTAAAAAGAATTTATACAGAATACTGATACAGTATTGTGAAACTAAATATCTTGATAATTCAGTGTATCCATATTTTCTTACACCTCTACTAGAGCTGGATGCAATCCTAGGGCAGTGCTGATCACATGATCTGGGTTGGAAATGCTAGACTCTAGTGATGTTTGTTATAATAATTTAATACACAATACTGTTGAACTCTGTAGTATTATTAAACTAAGAATTACCTCTAGCCCATGTGCCAACTTTCTTTGTTTCTGCAGAAACAACCAACTATTGTACAGTAACACAGAGGAACCTGAGTACACAGAGTACAGCTGAGTTTCTGCCCAGCTTCTGACATGTTTTTTTTTTTTTCTTTTACTGATATCCATTTTCACGGCACAACATTTCTCAAAGCAGCGCCATCTTTCACCCTTATTTCACCCTTGTTCTCCCTTCTCCTTTTGTTTTTTCCTCGTCATTCTCCCTCTCCCTCGCTACGCCGCCTGCTCGGCTTGTGCAGTGATCTTGATCTCAAAGGACCTTGAGTTCTGAGTATCAAAGCCTCAAACACTTTCACTGGGAACTATTGTATACACCAGGGGCCACTGCAGAGAAAAGAACAGAAGGCACATAGGAGATAGAGTAAGGAGAGAGCAGAGCCTGGAAGAAAGAAACTTTCATTTGAGCCAGGGCCACTTTCAGCAGGTGGGGTTATCTAATCAGCCCCATCGCGTGAGTTAATTTGCAAAGGGAGCGCATGTGTGCGCGGGCAGCAAGCGGTGTGTTTATTTGCGCGCACTTATGCGAAGATGTGTATCAGCTTACTGCCCCTGCACATGACACAAGAGTGGAGTCAATTGCCGAACAGAGTAAAAGGGCAGACAGTCAATGACAGGAGCTGAATGTAGACTTTTATTGTGTCGGGACAGACACGCGGTCACTGGGGAGCAGAGGGGCTTCGAAGGGAAGCTCCTGTATATTATCCTTCAATCTGACCACCAACAAAAACAAATGAGCCACCAGGGAACACACAGCATGTCCACGAGCATTCAAAACACGCCACTTTATTCACAGTGGGACCAGAGAGTCAGACACGAGGGAAGAAGACGGATCGGAATCAAAGGACACGGAGACTGGATGTAAAAAGTGTAAATCATTAGATCTTAATGTTTCACAATGTTGACGCCTCACAGCCAGTTGCATCTATTAAGTAATGTAACAGCTTTATTTTTCCTTTGGCATATATATAAATATATATACGTATACATTAACAGCAGCTTATTGAGAACAGAATGACAGGGACAATTATAAATTTCTAAAAAGAACCAGTAAAAACTAAAGCCTGTAGTGCGACCTTTAGTGTCAATGTCTCATGAAAGCACACAAGGACATCATTTATACTGACAAAGAAAAGATCTGTTCACAAAGTTTAAACAGATTTGATGTAAAACTTACTGTACAATTTCCTACATGTAACAATTTCAAAGTAAAACATTTTTTAAAAGTAAAAAACTAATAAAGTCATAAGCTTGAAATCTCAGCCTTTTGACAATTTAATTATTATATTAAACCCTGGATAATTTAAATCTTATATAACAAACTTTATTTATAAATAAAAATAATGATTTTCTTTCTTTAAAAGTAACACCTCTCTGTATGTTTCGTATAATAGCACATCATATTAGCATTACTGGCATTACTGCTACATCATCCAGAAACTAAGTGATGTGTTTACAGCTGATAACATAAACAAACCATAAACTGCAGTGATTTTTCTCATGGCCAGAAAACATTAAGGTTACTACAGCGTTGCCTGCCAATATTATCTGATTCCTTTTCAACACTCACAAATTGGATTAGCTGCTCTATGCTAAATGGATTACAAAGCTAATCTCTGCTATCACATTAGCACCACACAGACGCATAGAAACTGACTTCCACATGGACTCTACAGTTCAGGGAGGCACGTTATATTAACATATATACTATAGTAACGTACGCACGCTCGCACACACACACGCAGAAGCAGTGAGGAAGAGAAAGAAAGAGGAGGAACAACACGAGCTCATGATATGAGCCAACACTCTCACCATGTATCCACCTAGTGGTCATGCCATATATCTGCACCAGTACTGACTGTAAATGTAAGTACATATATACTGCGTATGTATATATATGAATATATATATTCCTTATTTAAATGGGATATTCAAACACACCTAGCTCTATGATAAATGTTTTTTATCTTAATTTTGCAGAAACACTGAGAACAACTGACACATTTGCATGACAGTTTCAGGTTGATCATGCAGTGAAGAAACAACATCTCATGTGTAGATGATTGTTTTTTTTCCCCTTTTTTTCCTGCCCCTAATCTGTCAATGAAAAATAAATTGTCCAAAATGACTCTCTCTGTTTCTCTCTCCGTCTCTCTCTCTCCCTTTCTCCACGGGACTAACAGCTAACAGAAGGTGTGATACAGGCAGGGTGAAAACAACAGGAGGACCTCCTTTCCATTTCCTCACACTGGCACCATCTATTCCTAAAGCAGCGGAAAAAAAACAAAACACTCCCACTGATCCTTCATGGTGTCTAATTTAAAACCAGGTGAAGTGAAATCCTGGGACATATTTTTCCCGTTAATACCTGAGAAAACATTTTTATATGTATCGAATATCGAAATATAAACTTATCTTGTTGACAGCGTCTAACACTCCAATCAATACAAAGATGCAGAAATGTATCATGTGACATACAATTGAGAACAAAAAAATTCTGAAGCTGCATCGACGTTGAAAACATGGACTGGGTGTTTTGGTTTGCGGTTGATTTTTAAAGACACCTCACATATCGCGGGTCAATAGATTCGATGTCCCTGTGGGACCCTTTCTTTTAGTGAAAATTGCCCTGTGAAATTGAATATGTCTGGTTACATATCTGAGCGCCCGTATTGATTCTGGATAATCTCATGCAACTGCCGTGCCGTTATGCAAACGCTTCTTTACATGAGGGCAGAGGGAGATTGATCCAACGTATTCCTGCAGCAGTCCGCTCCATTCTCAGGGGACAACGTGCTGCCTGGGTGGTGTCCGCGTAAATTATAGGAAAAGGTCGGGTGCAGCATGTGTACACTGTGTTCTGTGTGTGGGTTGCAACAATGCGCTACATTTACTTGCCACTTTATTAGGTACTATTCAGCTGTAAATCATTGTAAATTAGAATTTTTTTTTTTCTGTAAGTGACTTTGATTATAGCAATTATTGGCCCAAGAGAGGCAAGTCTGAGTGTCTGACTGCAACGTGGGTCTGCAGCAACTTAGCAGAACAACAGAAAAGAGAAAAGACCCATAGTACCAACTCAGAAATGTCCACATTTGTAGTGAGCATGGTTGCTGGTCATGCTAATCACCATATGGTTATAAAGTATAAATCTACCTACTACTTTGTTGGGGAACTGCAGTATGGACCACAGTTCCAGAATCAGTATCACAGAGAATCACTGCAGTTCTTCGGGTAAGAATTGTTTCATCCCAGTTTGTGCAGCTAAGGACTCATTTCCCTGCGATGGCACGGTTTTTGGTGTGGCATTAAAAAGGCTGTGGTCACACAGAGCTGCAGTCTGTTACATATGGCACACACACACTACAACACCGCGGCAACAGGCCGTGATCAACGTGCCGCTGGAAGAGTCCAAAATGGGCTGCTGACTAAAGAGTCATAGGCCATGAAACCACAGAGAGGCGACTGGGCCGGAGCTGGAGTGTCATCCAAAGTCATGCGGCATGCTGGGAAGACAAAAACTACCAACATATTTTGGGGGAAGAAATTCACAAATGTTCAGTTAATAGGCACCGGGGTAAACCTAAAATCCATGTCCTGGACTTGTAGCAGTCGTCACAGCCTTGACCCGTCACCTGCTGGACATTGACATGACTGAGAGCCGCGCACAGAAATATGATTAATGGACCTGGTTACTACATTTCATAAAACAAAGAGTTTTTTTCCTTTTTCTCTTGACTCCATTAGTGGCAGTGATGCCAGTTAATTTGATTTGACCCATTATACTTCCTACAGCAGTACATGGAAATGAACTTCATAAAGTAATGAAGGATAATTATTTTGAGTAGCTGTTAATTATACACAGTTTAAACTTTTAGGTTTTTATGGTAGTCCATGAGTCAGAAATG